ATATATATATATATATATATATATATATATATGTAGGATTAGTTTAGTGCACAGCAATGAATACATATATATGTTATGTCTTATTGATATATGTAATAAATTTATGTATATTATTTATTATTTGTTAATTTTCTTTGCACAACAAGCAAAGCTAAAATAATTCCAAAGTAAATAATGCAAATAAACAAGAATGTAAAAGTATGAGTTAACTAAATTGCCAAATTAATACCAATCAAAAAATAATCCAAAATGATAGATGCTAGAAAATTAAACCAAAAATCAAAATCACAAAAGACAAACAAGACAAACCAGTTGTTATTCAACATTTCTCACAGACTAATGAACTGTAGAATATAGCTCACATTCTTTTCAAAAGTCATTAATAATTAGCAGATATATCACTAGTTTGAGATGAAATTAATAAAAAACGATAGACTTTGGAATAGGAAAAATTAATAGTCAAACTTCTCCTTTCAAGTTCAAATGCTAAAATAAAATATAATTCAAATTTTATTTACTGTAGTAAAGAACAATGAAGCGTCTCCTTCTGTAAAATAATAATTACTAATTTGCTATATACAATGAATTACAATAGTGTATATAGTTAGGATATGTACAGTATTGTACTTTCCACTATTTTACCTTTACGCATGCTGTAGCAGTGAGTGCATCAAGTACGAAAAATTATCTAACTACTGTGTATTCAAAACAGTATACTACATCTTAATGAATCACTGCTTTACGCAGTTTTACTTTTGAATAACCAAAGTGTTACAGTAATTATATACAAGTTCCAAAATGCATATTTATTTAGATACTGAGCGCAAAAATTTTAGCATACAAAGTAAATATAAATGTATTATAATTTGTTGTGAATGCATCCAACACAGACTTCTCAATATAAAATCAACACGCTTTAAAATAGTGTAACATAAAACATTTAAAAGTTCTATTAAGTAAAAATTTTTGCGAGTAATGTTTGGCGAGAAATAGATTCCTTACCATATCGGTAATACTAGAATAACCCTTCGAAACTTCAATCTTTACATAAGATAAAAAATGAAGCTGTGATTACTTCACGTCACCCATTATTAACAGGCAAAGAACTAAAATGGTTTGATGACTATTTACTCTGTTCTTTACACGTCGTCATTTTTAGATATTTACGCAATGTAAACAAATGCACCACATCTATTGCATTTGTATTACATTACAACGTTTGCTTCCTTGTCTGCTAATTTTTACCAGTCTACCGTACATTCCAAAAATTACATCATTATAATAAATTATCAATTGCTACTCATCACCACTTTTAAAGTATTGCTTCTTCTTCTGCACTTATTTCATTCTCATACCTTTCGCAGAAAAAAGAATTCGCAACTTTAAGAGTGAGTGAAATATATTTTCTATTTTCAGTAATTCTAAAACTAATTTTTCTCACAATGCATATGCAAGTAGAAAACTCAACTCCTTTTAACGATTACATAAGATTAACTAGCAGAATGATCATCAACAAATGCTAATTAATATAAAAATGCAAAAACTTGCTTTACATATAGCAAGTATTATATGTAAATCAGTAGCAAAGATGAGCGAAATTCACAACTTCCATTTTATAATAAAATTAAGCATATTACAATGCAGTACTGAACGAATGGCAAGACTGATTACAACTGCAAATTTTAAAGATCACTTACATACAAAGAAAAACGGGCGTTTGCAGCTCAAATGCTCAACAACAAATTGTGAGCAGACAAAACTTACGCACAATAATTTTATTTACCCACAACAGATATACACTACTTCGCTTACAAATCACAATTATTATAGTGATACTGTGTAAAATACCATTTACACATCACTATTAATTTAAAATAGTTGATGTAAGCATGACGACACTTCACTTTCAGTATGATTTCTATTCAGAAATATCTATTATATGACACACGATAAGTAGTGATATGCAGTCCTGATAAGTTAGCATCATCAAGTATGACAACTTGATCGTGTGTCATATATATTTATATATAAGCAGTCGAGACCGAGAAAAAGCGATGATATGATATACTAGTGAATGAACTCAGGGAAGGGAAAAAAATGCAGAACGTGAAGAATTCCGTATGAGATGACTCGGGATAGGATAGTATAATAAACGTGAACGTTAGTCAAAGAAAATCAGTATATCTAATCATGTTCAGGCATGTATTCGATCGGCAATGTTAAAGAAAAAATTTGAAAGCATTGCATTCGAGCATCGCCATGGATTGAACGATGAAGCAACGGAGAGCATTACAGAAAAACTGAATGAAGGACAAATACAGCCTGAGTACCAGAACACGATCCAGCACCACAATCAATAATGCAGAAACAGAAATGAACCTCAAAAATAGATCTCTCATATTTATAGCAAGATGACTACTGTTACTGGAATAAATGATCATATAGAAGTACTTATTTCATGCATCTAAAAAATTTGAAGTGAAGATAAAAATGAATCATTTTAACAATCTGCTTGAATTATACTGCAGTTGCTTTGCAGAGAAGATTTCTTTACGAGGACAACAAAGCACTTGCAATCAAAAGTATGGAGTGAACGAATTAGCTCGTTAAAATAAAAATATAAGTTATTAAATTGGACGTAACCTTTTTTTTGAAGAAAAAGTATATCGATTTTCTCAAAAATTTAATCTGAAAAAGAAAATGCGAAAATTTTGACGGCTGACATGCTACATAACTGACAACGAGAAGAGCGAGCAGAAATGATCACTAAAAGCTTCCACCTTTTTCCACTGAGCATCCATCCATCCATCAAAAACTCTGATAAATGAACAGAAAAGACGAATGCATGAATAAGAGTACAAATTGATGGGACAACGAAGACATGAGGCAAAACTTTTCTTCAACCAGCACCAACTTCTATTTCATAAGCTGCTAATAATTTATTGTATATCTCCTGAAATTCGTAACGTAAATAAATAGGATTAAAACAATGTAAGGACATAAATTTCGAAAAATTATTTAAAACTCATGTAATTCAAACCAGCAAAATAATATATTTCAAGATACAAAAAAGGTATTCTAGTAAATGCTTGAATATAAATATTCAATCTTCACTAACACTGAAAAATGACTGTCGTACTATCACATGTCTGTTAAAATAGAATTATTATTTCAAGTTAATTTAACGATATGATGTATTTGAATTAACCAAAATCTAGTTTCAATAAAAGTGCTGAAGTTCTAGCAATAAAACGGTATGCAATAAGCAATGTGATCACAGTTCCAACATGCAAAAGATAAATGCTAACATATGCAGATGTTTCTGTTGGTAACTCGATCATTCTTCCATCCAAAGTATTTAATCTGAGAAAACCTCTTTGCTTTTTTCGTAAGTCAATCTGAATTGTTTTATCCAGAAGTGCTGGTTTATTCATTTCTGTGTACAAAACTTGCCATTCAGTATTCCAAGAGCCAACAATATCATTTTTTTTAGCATTCATTGCACGTCTGCAAATTTTTCAATATTTAAAATACGAGTTGAAGCCAACACCATCATTACTGCATGATAATTTACATAATTACTGAATGATTCACAATCAATCCTTGTATCACCTGCAGAGAAACTGATTACTGAATTAATACAAATTTTTGTAAACAATCGAACAGTTTTCTAAAATTCACCAACTAAGCCTTTTCCGGATGTAATATGATGAATAATGAATATTAAAGAACAAAATGATCTTCAAAAATTTCATTTTGAATTCACTAATAACTATTACAAACGGAAAATATGAATAATTACCGATCAGTAATGATAAAAATACTCTTGTCGGATATCACAGCATGCGCAAGGAAATAATCGTTTTCAGCAATGGAACCATTATCAACTTCCTAATACACGTGAATGTGATTAAAAATTGACTAAATGAATATAATAAGCGTATATTGCTTTTCGATTTTTCGAAAATAACTTATAAACAAAAGATAAAAGTGATTTGGAGTTTATGATCCACAATCAAATATACTTTAAAATTAATTTCATTTGTTAAATACACGACATTATTCCAAGTCTTCTCTCTCCTAACTGGATTCATCATACTAGTAAAAAATTATCTTTCAGACATAAATTATGTTGCAACATATTAACAAATAAAAACTGTTTTAATCTCACTCGAAATATCTGTGCTCCCAGAGCTAATTTTTGGCTGTAAGGCCGCACAATGTTGTCCGAAAAAATGACTCGTGGTGGACGCAGTAGCTTCGTTTCATCCATTCCAACAGCAGCACTAAAATTCACACTTAAAAACTTAATTAAACTAATTTCTCCTTCCCTAACATGTTGGCCAAGAAATTACTTTTAAAGAATAAACTCAACAGTGGAAATTCCAAATATACTGCTGACATTTTTATAAAGTTGTTATGAATTCCAAATAGGTGTGAAATTAAAAATTAATACAATTACGCTATTGAAACTGTACAGCATTAAATCACAATTTTACGCAAAACTGACGATCTAACAGCGTGCAATGTACTACTGGCAAAATCAACAGCGCCTGACACAGGACGCGTCACAACACCAACTAAACCAATACCAAGACCTTTTGCAAAGCCAGACACTCCACCCGCACGAGCTCCTAAAAACAACATAAATCTTTAGCCTTTTGCAATTTCCAAAGCCAAGCAGAGAAATATAAGAGTCAAATTCAAGACAAATGCCAGAAGAAATAATAGGTTAATAGCTACTTAAAAATATTAAGAAGAGAAAGTTAAGATAAACCTGCGATCGGTTTGGAGACTATACCGGTGATACCTTCATATAAACCTTGTCCAATACCTTTCGCACCCCGAGCTACACCCTCACCAATAGTTTTAGGACGACGGCTCATCATCTGTTGCCTTTTTCGTTGATATTCTTCATCTAAAGTTAATGCAGCCACACCCTAAAATTTTACACAGTGACACCAATTATTTCTGAGTTCAAGTTTTTTAAAATGATTTTCATTTGTTTTAAACTTGACCAAAAAAATAATTCAAGCTCATGGATTGATAAAGAACCGCATCAAAATACGATAAACTGATATAAAAATTAATTATACTTTTCCTAAAGTTCCAGCGATTCTTGATACGGCTCCAGCTCCACCACCAACTGTTGCACCGAAAAGCCCTTTGACACCCAAAGCAACTCCTTCAGCAAATTCTTCTGGTCCTTGAACAGCACCCTGAAATCCGTAAATAAACCTTATTAAAAGGAAAGAATACCTTATAGAGCTCTGCAATCAACTAGATCTTAAAATATTAATATGTAGCTGCTTTACTGAAATTTGAATCATCAAATCATTCACCACCACTTTTTATATATCTGGGAATGAAATCTATTTATGCATGGAACAGAGTGAGGTAAATTTAAAATCGCAAACTTATCATTAAGATCAATGAGTTACACGAAATTAAAGATCTTTTGCTTAAACTCCTTAGACTAAAAAAACAATTTCCTTCAACAAAACGCTCCTAAATGCTTGGAAGTCGTGAGTTTTTGAAACACTAAATGAAAAGTTAAAAACTATTAAAATGATTATGAAACCC